GTATGCTTTTCTCTTTGTACATCTTAAAATAGCTGGCTGGATCGATGTCTGTGGAGTACCATTTGCCTTGGCTCCACTCTTGTTGCTGTAGAAATATTTTAAGTCTTGTTTCTCTTTCTTCGGTGTTCTCTGATTCTGCTGCGATTGTTTTACCATCTGAGCTCTCTGTACTTTTTGAATTCACGGGCAAAGAACTCAGAGAAACAAACATTACCAGTGGTCATGATATCAAAATGCAAGATGCTTTTGCCCAAAAATATGAGGTTTATTGCTTTAGAAACAGTTGATCCTGAGGTTGCAGAGTTTACAGATTACTCTCTCCTTCCACAGCTAGAGGCCTGGAATCATGTAGTTTATCGAGTATCCGCCATGTCACCGCATCAGGAACCTGGCCGTTCTTCTTCATCTCTTCCAAAATCTGGTATGCTTCTCTCCTCAACCCACTTCTGCTACATTCATCAATCACGATGTTGTAGCAAACAACATTAGGAACCACTCCAGAATCCGCCAGTTCATATAGGAAATGGCAAGCATCACTTAGATTACCAAACCGACAAAGCCCTTTCAGAAGTGCTGAATACACAAACGCATCATGTCTGCCTGATGGCCATATCACATCGTCCCAGAACCTCTTTGCCATATCTACCTGATCAGTTGCACACAACCCGTCAATGATAATAGCATAGGTAGTAGTATCTGTACTCACACCGGCCTTTGCCATCTGATCAAACACACACATAGCTTCCTCTCCCTTATTGAGCTTGAACAACCCACGCATAACAGCGTTGTATGTAACTACACCTGGCTTAAACCCGTTCTCTGGCATAACCCGATTCAACACATCAAGAGCTTCTTCTGCTCTTCCTTGAGTAAGCAAGCCACACATAACAGTAGTTAAAGTTATAGCATCTGGTGCACAGAACTTCCCTGTCATCATATCACCAAGAACTTTCATTGCATCATCCACCCTACCCATCTTGCAAAACCCATTTATAACCGTGTTAAGTGTATACTCATCCGGCCTACAGTCTCCCTGAAGCATAGTGACCAGTACGTTCAGGATTTCAGTTGGGTTATTTACTACGCAGAGAGCTCGTAGGTAGATATTATAAATTCTAGTTCTATCTGTTCCTTCTTTTCTCAACATCAGCTCTAGAACATTTCTCGCTTTACCGGTGTCCAGTTCCTTGCATAGACTCTCCACTAGAAGCTTATAAGTATACTCAGACGGAAAAAACCCAAATTCAGATCCCTCTTCTAGCAACTGATAAGCCCTCATACACCCACCATCCTTGCACAGACCATGAATTATAGCATTGTAAGAGGTCCTTCTCGGTACTAACCCTTTACTCTTCATTATGTAAACAATCCTCGCAGCTCCATGGTTTCTCCTGTATCGACACAAGGAATCCATCATATGGCCATAAGAAAATTCAACGTCCACGGACTCAGATTGTGGCATATTCTCTGCAATCTCGAAAATGTCATTGAAATACCCTTCCCTGCACATAGAATCAATGAGATTAGCAAAAGCTGCTGTTTTCATTGATGTATCAGTCTCATCCTTCATGTATTCCCAGAGCTCCTTCATCAGCTTCCGTCCTGTTTCAACATCCCTCATTTTCAAAAACCCACCAATAAGAACACTCAGCGTGAGAGAATTAGACCTTATACCACACCCACGCATTTCGTCGAGCACTTTATGTGCAACATCAAGCTCTCGAATCTCGCAGTAACCACCGATTAGAGCGGTGTAAGTCACAACATTCGGAAGATGCCCTCGATTCCTCATATCGAACAAAAGCTTATGCGCATCGACTACCTTATAAATCAAACACAACTGATTGATCAAACGATTGTAATTCGTCAACGATGGCACGAACTCCTTCTTGACACCGATCAAACGGAATATAACTCCCAACGTACTCACCGGACATTCAGAATCTAACAACCTCGCGATGATAACGTTACAGGTTCGCTCGTCTGGGGTAAAACCTGAAGAGACGAAGAGGAGAAACCGACGGCGAGCTTCGTCAAATCGTCCGGCGTCACAAAGGGCGTGAATCACACTGCTCAAGTTAAGCGAATCGGGGCGATATCCACGGAGACAGAGCCCGTCGAGAATCCGAAGAGCTTCATCGGGATTTCTCCGTACGGCGCAGATACTGTGTATCCGTCTTCTCCAGTAAGCTCTATCGGTTACACTGCGTCGACGATCTTCTGATTCTATTGCATCGACTTCTTTTTCGGAGTGTAGTCGAGCTTCAACATCGTCAGTTTTCTGCAATTGGAATACGGAGGAAGAGAAGGGTTTTGAGAAGAAGAAGGTATTGTAGAAGAAGCCATTTTCTCTGGCTCGTAGTCTCAAGCGAGTGAGGAAGAGCATAGCTTCTCTGGCATTTCTATTTTGCCTCTTAAACTGGCTTTTATATAAGAGCATAATCAAATTTCATTGGGCCTAATATTCTTGTCTATGTAAGCCTAGGCCCATTTAATTTAGAGAGTTGGTAAGCATTTTTTCTGCTAG